ATGGATCATGTACACTGTACCATCACGTCTCCTTTGTTTCAGAGCTTGCCAGCATTCCCTGCCGGCCTACTGCTTTTGTGTGTACCACACTGTGAAGGACATGAGACTTTAGATGCCATTCTAAGGGCTCCGGATGGAACTTTCTTGTGTTTTTATGATAGTTGCCCAAATAAGAAAGTTAGCCAATGAAGCCAGACAATCTGATACAAGGTGCAAAAATGGCCACTCAGAGCTGCTGCAGTGGTGCACGCCTGTGATCCCAGCATTTGGGAAGCTGAGGCAGGAGGATTGCTGAGAACTGAGGATCAGCCTGAAATACATAGCAAATTTCAGGCAAGCCTGGGCTGAATAGTGAGACCCTGTCATAAGCCAACAAAATCTCTCGGCAGGAAGAATGGAGCTGCGAGAAAGCAACAGTAAAATTCCAGGTGAGAACCAGCAGGTGCTGTGATTATTTTTCCCATTGTCCTGCTTCGTAGTTTTTAGCATATACTTGTATCTTATTCCCTAAGATTTTCAAAAGAGAATTATTGGGTATAATTCAGTCTTCTTGAATTGTCTGTTATATCATGTCATACCTACCATTTTGTCTGAGTGCTTACGCCCTTGACCTCAGGAATGACTTGCAAGCCAATATCTTTCTCAATTTGTGTGAGTGTAAAATTTTTATCTGTGTAAGAAGTGCACTCAATGTAGGCATCTTTTATGCTAGAAGCATTCTGGTCACTGAAAGTCACAGGTGCACCAAATTGACTTCGTTTTCTAGAAATCATGTATGTCACCTGTAACACACATAAGCGGTAAAGAAAACCTAATGAAGTCACTGGAGAAAAATGGATGTCTGATACGGTGTTGGGTTGTCCAGAACCTCTCAGACTCCTCTGGACTCTTGCCACCCCTCTCTAGTTCTATGTGGCTTTTGTTCCCACAGCCTGCAGCCACTACTCCTCAGTGAAGCCATGTTCACCATGACTGAGGTCTCTTGGCCTGTAGACAAAAAGGACAGGAAGTGACTGGGAGTTTACCTCTTGACCAGTAGGGGATTGATAGCAGGAGGCATGTGGAAGTCCATCTTTGTGGCTTCTATTTGGGATAACCCTGAGTTTAATTTGTACTCCGGAGTTCCCCTATGGATTCAGGACAAAGCCTTCCTTCTAGAGACTATGGCAGGCTTGCTCCCTTGGAGGGCTTCCTTCCTATCCAGCACCACCCCTCAGCCAATTGCATACAACCCTCCCCTCAGGAGTTGGTCTGGGAGGAAATACCACTGTATTCCTTTTCTACCACTGCCATAACTGACTACCACAACTGGGGTGGCTTAAAACATAGGACTTTATTCCGACAGCTGTAGAGGCCAGACATCTGAAATTGTCTAGCTGGGGGAGGGGGCAAGGGAGAACTTGACCCCTGGTGCCAGTTAGTAGCCTTCATTGTTCCTTGATCATAGATATAGTCTCCCTGAGGTCCCTACAGTCTTCAAGCAAGCATGTGTGCTGGGGATTGAACTGAGGGCTTCGAGGACTCAAGGTCCAATTCTCTGTCTTCTTCATATGGCATCCCTGTCTACATCTATATATGATCAACTTCTCTTAAGAACATCAGCCAAATCAGAGTAGGGACCTATTCTATTTGTGACCTCATTAGGGATAATTATATTTGCAAAGATTCCTCCCCTCCCCCCATATCTATAGTGTTAAACTCTGGGGGAACAGATTCAATCCATAACACCTGCCAAAGAAAGAGGCCATTCTTCTATTAGAAAAAAAAAAAAACCCACACTTTCCAATAGTACATACAGTAAAGTTCAGGATCTCTCAGGAAAGAATACTATTTGGTTAGAGGAAAGTAAAGACTGGAAAGCATCTAAGACTCTGACCCGTCTTTTCGATTCCTTGACAGATTCTTCCTCGATTTCTTTCTCACTGCCCAAAGACACCCACGGCTTGGAGACAGGTGGTTTGTAGATGTACAGGTCTTCTGAAGTATGTTCCTTGAGTTCTTCTTGTTCTTCTGGCACTTCTTGGGTCTAGAGCAGAACAAGAAGCATTCCAGAACGTAGGGCCAATCATATATTCCTTGTGTGTATCTTACACAGCTAGCTTGACTTACATGGGTGTATGAAGCATTTCCCATATTGCTGTCGACTTATGTTTTCATAAGCAAAAAGGGGGTGGTTGTGGGAAAAGAATAAATAATTAAAAAGTAAGACACAAGGAAAGACAAAGATGAGGAGGAAGGAGAGGACACCCCACATGCCAAGAAAACATCCTTTACCTCATGTCTTTACAAATAATATGGATTGCTTAGTTTCATGGCTAAAATATAAAACTCTGTTTCCCTGAATTTATGATGGGTTATTTGATAAGAGGAAAGTGTGTGTGTGTGTGTGTGTGTGTGTGTGTGTGTGTGTGTGTGTCTGTGTGTGTTCTACTTGGGATAGCCCTGAGGTATAATTTATACTCCCAAGTTCCTCTACAGACTCAGGTCGAATCTCACTATTCTGAAGCTGAGCTGAGCTCAGGGACCACGGCCATGTCTAGGGGCCTAGGGGTATCCCAGAAGCACCAGCCTGCAAGGGCTTAGGGTTTACTTACCTTTAAGAAGTTTTCCTTGCCTTCCTCGGTCCCAATGAGGTAAAAGTTGAGTCCATATTTGAAGTCCTTGTCATAAACAAGCAGCAGCTCGTCCCCTGGATATTCCTGTGGGAACATCAGCAGAGGACGAGGGTCAGAGCTAATTCAGTTTGTGCTGGTGCTAACATCAAATCAACAGGATCTGAAATGTAAATGTGGTGATAATCTGCCTGCTAAACCCAAACCTCTAAATTATTTAATTAAAAAGTTCTTAAAAATGCAATCGGTCTGTGGAAATTTTATCATGCAATTAAAAAAACAGATTTATTTATTTTCATTTTTATATGTGTAAGTGTTTTGTTTGAATGTATTTATGTACACCATGTGCATGTCTGGTTTCCATGGCAGTCAGAAGAGAAAGCTGGATTCCCTGGAACTGGAGTTAGCTGGTTGTGAGTCACCATGTGGATGTTGGGCTCAAACCTCCATTGAAAGAGTAGGCAGTTCTCTGAATAGCCGAGTCATCTCTCCAGCCCCATTACTATGCAATTTTATTTCTAACAGAAGGAGGAAAACATCGGGGCTGGGGGAAAGAACCCCGTTGGTGAATGTCTTCTGTGCGAGCATGAGAACCTGAGTTCAGACACAGTGGCCTTGTCTCTAACTTCAGTGTTGGGATCAGGGGAGAGAGGAGGAGTCCCAAAACCCATTGGCCTGCCAGCTCAGCCAAATTGATGGATTCCAGGTTCAGTGAGTGGCCTTGTCTAGAAAAAGTGGAATGCTGTTGAGGAGGTTACCTCCCAGTTTCCACAACACGTGCCCACACATGCACCTGCACTCACAGGGATACAATTACCCAACCCAACACACACACACACATAAACACACACACACACACACACAAATAAATAAATAAAAGAGAGAGAAAGAGAGAGAGAGAGAGAGAGAGAGAGACAGAGAGAGAGAGAGAGAGAGGCATGAGCATTGTTTGATAGTGTGGTCTACATGCTTGGGGGCAAAACAGGACCAAAACTATGGATTAAACAACTTAAAGCAGTATAAGAAAAAAAAACATTTGAGCAAAGGTCTTACTTTGCAGCTCAGGATGGCCTGGAAGTTGCTATATGTCCCAAGTTGTCCTCAGACTCATGATCCTCCTGCCTCAGCCTCCCAAGTGCCACCATGCCCAGCTAGATTCCTATTTTAAGTTACAGGGTAAGAATGAACCTTTCACCTATCATCCTGATACAGGATTTCAAGGGGCCTAAAAGTAAAGGGAATGCCAGAATTGAATGCAAAATCTTCTCTAACATGTGTTTCTTTCCTGGGATGTTCTTGAGGTAAGACTGAGGGCAAAGAGCAAGCATGTATTTACCCGAACAATTTTTTTGACCGGGTGGAAGTCTGATACTGCAGCTCGGTTCAGCATGTCTGCCAAGATATCATCTTTTTTGATGAGCTTATACGGTTGCTCATCTGTGAAATCTTCATCTGCTCGACAGTTGAATATTTCCTGGGTCCTGGTAGTTAATACTAATGGATAAATTTCTGGATGGCCTGTGAGAACAAAGTAGAATTTGGACATTAAGCACAACTTAAAATACTAAAATCAGGAAATGTGCAATTTTTAATGATTTTCTTGGTTAAAAATTTGAGACTCTAATTTTATTGTTCTTACATTTGAAGTTGACTACATTCACTGTAAACATTTTGAACCATAGACTTTAAAGATGACTCAGTCAATAACCTTTCCTTTCAAACCTGAGGACCCGACTTCCATCCACAGCATCCAGGTAAAAGGTGGGCATTGTGGGATACCCTTATCATGCCAGCAACAGTGAGCCAGGAGATAGAGACAGGCAGATCTCTGGAGGTCCTGGCTAGGCAGCCTCACCTACGTGGAGAGGCTCCAGGCCAACGAGAGACCCTATCTCAAATAAAGACGTAACAGGTGGCTGAGGAATATATGGTATCTCTGACCTCCAGGTGCATGCACACATGTGCACCCACATGCACCCAGTCAAACACAAACATGCATGCATACACACAAAATCTTGAGCAAAATAAAAAGAAAATGCCAATGCCTTATTAATATCCTCCAAGAAACAACTTAGTATTTTCTTCTATCCATCCAATGTAGACCTTTTAAGAAATTCTGAATCCTGCTTTTAACACTTTACTGTTACCTCACATGGATTCCTACTAAGACATTAAATAACATCGCTGAAACATTATTTTAAATTAATTTATTCCTGCATTTGACCATCTTGCTGATGAGTGCTCAGTTTTTCTTATTTGTTTCAATTATTATAACTGTTCTTACAAAATTAAAAAAGCTTATGAATTGTTCTTGTATTACAGACCCTTTCTTTGGGATAGTTTTAGAAGTGCAAGTCCTGGTCTGAAGGTGTGGTGGTTTTCCTTTAGGTCCTTTCAACTTCTGTTCTGCTCCCTGGCCTTGCTTCTTCATTCTACCCGAGACCAGTCCCTAGCAGTGGCACGTCCTGGTCAGAGGATGCAACAGGGCACGGGAGAACTCTGCCAGTCATCAGCCTGCACTCAGGATGTCTTCCAGTCTCTCATCCTATTCAACATCACTAGCTCCTGCCAAGTCAGTCTCTGTCTCCCTACAGCACAGCCTCTCATCTCAGCACTCCTGGGGGCCCAGGGTCAAGTCTCACTCCCTCCATCTCTCATACTGCTGCATATTTTCCATGCTCCTTCCAGCTGCTGCACAGAGGTTCCAGCAAAGGGAGAAGGGTATGCTGTCTCAGGTTGGAATGCTCTGGTTGTTTTCCTGCAGAGGTACCCTGCCCCCAAGTGGCTCTATGGGATAATTATTTATGTAATTTGAGGGCTTGAAATGATTTTGTGCAGAACTCTGATTATGTATGAGAATGTATTCTAAACTGCAATTAGTTGTTGCAACAATCATTTGAAATACAAATTAATTATGAAATCTGGACAAACCTCTTTTTAGTGCCCTCAGAAGTACCAATAGAAAGGTTTTTTAGTTACTGACTTTTCAAGTAAGTGATTGCAATGTCTGGCAGATGGTGGTGTTTAGCATAGACTACACAGTAAAGGCTCTGTGGTTTCCTTAGGAAGCTGCTGGGAGGAACTGTGGAATCCTCTGCACCAGAGTGGAAAAAGAGAAGGCACTATACTAATTAGCACAGGTATTCAAAAAGGCAAGAAGCTGCCCACCTCCCAAGAAACTGGAGAGACAAAAAAACCATGCTCTCTTTTTAAAACTGTAGTTTAATTTTTAAAGGTCTTTTGGGACAGAGTTTGTGATTGCTAGCTTTAATTGTCAACTCAATGCAAACTAGAATCACCCAGGGAAGATTATCTACAGTAGACTGACCTTATGGGCATGTCTACAGGGGACGGTCTTCATTAAGTTAACTGAGGTGGGCAGTTTCAGCCCACTATGTGTGGCACCATTCCCTAGGCAAGGAGGGAGGGTCCTGAACTGTATGAGAAAGGAGAAATCCAGCTGAGGGAAAGCAAGGATACATGCACCTGTTTCTCCCTGCTCTTGACTGTGGACGTGAAGGAAGTAGCTGTTTGAAGTTCCTGCCTTTACCTACCCCTTCACTGAGGGTCTGTAAACTGAAATTGTGAGCCAAATAAACCCACCTCCTCTATGTTGTTTTATGTGTCCAGTTATTTTATCACGGTAACAAAAATAAAAACTGGAACAAAGTCTCACACTGTGAAATCATAGGCTGTCCAAGAACTCACTATGCAAAACAGGTTGGCTTTGAACTTGAGGTGATTCTCCTGCCTCAAGATTGGGTTTCATGTTTCTTGCTCCCACTAGACACTCAGTTCAGATCTTACTAACTTGGCATTTTTCATAAAAAGGATCCATTTTCACTAACTGAACATTTTAAAAGCAATTTAAAAGTAGGATTGAACATTTCCTTATGTAGAAGCTAGTAAACATTATAGGCTATTTGCAACTGGGGTAGGCAATCGATGGTTACGGTGAACAAGAGGAACTTGATAGAATGTGCATCCTCTGTGATCCAGTGCCTTCATGCTCCAGCACAACAGACAGAATAGAGCAAGGCCTGAGGATTCTGCCACCCAACAGAGCCTGTGGTGAAACTGAACAAGAACAGCTGCTGTTTAGGCTTTAAGGCTTGTGCTGAGGACAGCATCAGGACCTGAGGCAATAGCACTGGGCTGTGGAGATCAGCAGAAAGAGGCACTCACTTGAGCTTAGAGGTTAGTGGGATCTCGTTTGCTCCCCAGAGACTGAGGAAGGTCTGGGGCAGAGGAGGATGTTGGAGCTTCACTCAGGTGTCTGCTACAGGACTGCTGGCCATGAGCTCAATAAAAATGAACTGGCACCAGATGAATATTGCCTTTGAGCTATAGTTTGAAATATGCTATTCTGATAGAAGTAATAACATGCAGACATCCAGCAAAAGATATTTTAATACTCTCATGATAGGTTAGAAATTATTACTGGGTGTGTGTGGTGGTGTACTTGTGTGGGTGTGGGTGCATAACAGTGTATGATGCATATGTGGGGCTGTGACTGCCAGTACTGTATGATGTATATATGTGGGCATGGGTGCAGAGCAGTATATGATGTATGTTTGTGGGCATGGGTGGACAGCAGTGTATGATGCATGTTTGTGGGCATGGGTGGACAGCAGTGTATGATGTATGTTTGTCATGGGTGCACGGCAAGCTTTGGAGGTCATAGAACAACTGTGGAGCTGTTTTTCTCCATCCACTTTATTTTTATAATTTTTTTAATGTTTTAAAAATTATTTATTCTTCGTAGACCACACCAGCCAGAATGGGTGACTGACCCACCTGCCAGGGGAACTGCACCCCTCCCTGGATTCTCTCTCCCCCTTCCCCAAGCTCATGCCATTCCAGGCAGTTCCTAACCCCTCTGCTGAGCCCTCCCCCCAACTCCAGAACACTTCAGCCAGGCAGGCCCTGGCCACACAAGCCAGAATGGGTGAGTGACCTGCCTGTCAGCGGAACTGTACCCCACCTTGGATTCTGTCCTTCCTGCCCTAGGCCCATGCCATCCCAGCTCGTCCCTGACCTGCTGCTGCTGGGTCCTGCCCCTAACCCCAGTGGACTTCTGTCATGGAGGTGCAGACCACACCAGCCACAACCCATTAGTGACCCTCCTGTCCTGTAGCCCGCCTGCTCCTATCTCATTACCAGTGCCACCACTGGGCCCTGCCCCCAGCTCCAGAGGAATCCCACTGCTCTGGTACAATCCTCACCAGTGGAAGAGCAGGTGACCCACCTGCCAGCTGGACTGCCACCCCCCCCATTCTGCTCCCTCAAGACCCACACCACCACCCAATCCTCCCACATTATCATCCTCCCTGCAGCCAGCCCTTCCCAGAACTCCAGCAGATTCCACAGGCCTAGACACTGTCCATACCAGTTGGAAGAACAGATGCCACAGGCCCAGGTATAGTCCACCCCAGTCAGAAGAACAGCCCCAGCAACTCTATTGGAGGCCAGACTGCTCCTAGGGACCCCAGAAGAATACTCAGGCTTTACTGGAGGCCAGGACAGATCTAGAGACCCAAGAAGACTTCAGCTGTACCAGAGACCAGACTGGATTAATGGACCCAAGTCCTCCAAAACCCCAGTGGACACACCCTACTAGACCTGAAGACTCATCAGTTACCAGAACCCTTGGTCACTTAGGCCAAAAGACCAGAGAGGAAACAAAAACCAAGGAACAAAACACCCATCCAATAAAATACCCATCCAACAAAGACAAACACAGGCATCAACACCTACACCTAATCACCCAAATCCAGATGCCTAAACTCCAGTGTAAGAACACAATCAATAACAGAAAGGGCAATATGGCATCACCAGAGCCCAGCTATCCTATGACAATAAGACCTGAACATTGCAACACAACTGAAGCACAAGAAAATGACCTTAACAATAACTTTGTGAAGATAATAGAGATCCTTAAAGAGAAAATGAAAAAACTCCCTTAAAGAAATTGAGGAAAAGACAAACCAAAATTTGGAGAAAATCAATAAACCTCTTAAAGAATGTCAAGAAAACCAAGAAGAAACCCAAACAGTTAACAGAAACAAATAAAACTGAAAATAGAAGCAATAAAGAAAATATAAGGGGCTGGAGAGATGGTTCAGAGGTTAAGAGTCCAGAGGTCTTGAGTTCAATTCCCAGCAACCACATGGTAACTCACAACCATCTACAATGAAATCTGGTGCTCTCTTCTGGCCTACAGAACAAACTCTCACTGAATACATAATAAAAAAAATAAACCTTAAAAAAAACAAAGAAAGAAAATATAAACTGAGAGAATTCTGGAAATGGAAAATATGAGTAAGCAAACAACAACTACAGATGTAAGCATCGCTAACAAGAGATGGAAGAGAGACTCTCAGGCATTGAAGACACAATAGAGGAAATAGATTCACCGGTCAAAGAAAATGTTAAATTCCTAACACATAACATCCAGAAAATCTGGGACACTATGTAAAGACCAAGCCTAAGAATAATAGGAATAGAAGAAGGAGAAGAATCCCTCTCAAAGGCCCAGAAAATACATTCAACAAAATCGTAGAAGAAAATTTTCCTAGCCTGAAGAGGACATACCTATAAAGGTACAAGAAGCTTACAGAACACCAAATAGAATGGACCAGAAAAAAGTCCCATAGCCACATAATAATAAAAACACTGAATATACAGAATAAAGAAGAATATTAAAATCTAAACGGAAAAAGACTAAGTAACATATAAAGGCAAACCTATCAGAATTACACCCAACTTCTCAATGGAGACTCTAAAAGCCAGAAAAGCCTGGACAGAAGTCCAATAGACCATGGATGACAGCCCAGAATACTATAACCAGCAAAACTTTCAATCGTACAGATGGAGGAAACAAGATATTTCATGATAAATTCAAATTTAATCAATATCTATCTATCCACAAATCCAGCCCTATAGAAGGTACTCAAAGGAAAACTTTAACCCAAGGAAGTTAGCTACACCCATAAAAACACAAGCAATAAATAATCCCACACCAGCAAAACCCAAAGAAGAGAAGAGAAACACACACACATACCACCACCACCACCACCACCAACAACAAAATAACAGGAATTAACAATCACCAGTCATTAATATCTCTAAATATCAATGGACTCAATTCACCAATAAAAAGACACAGGCTAACAGAATGGATACGAAAACAGGATCCATCCTTCTGCTGCATACAAGAAACACACCTCAACATCAAAGATATTACCTCAGAGTAAAGGGTTGAAAAAAAATTTTCCAAGCAAATGGACCCAAGAAGCAAGCTGGTGTAGCCATTTTTATATCTGATAAAATAGACTTCCAACCAAAATTAATCAAAAGAGAGGGGGAAGGACATACTTCATACTCATCAAAGGAAAAATTCACCAAGATGATGTCTTAATTCTTAACATCTATGCCCAAAATGCAATGGCACCCACATTCATAAAAGAAATATTACTAAATTTAAATCACACCTCAACCCTTACACATTTTTAGTGGGAGACTTCAATACCCAACTCTCACCAATGGACAGGTCATCCAGACAAAAACTAAACAAAGAAATAATGGAGCTAACGGACATTATGAACCAAATGGACCTAACAGATATCTACAGAACACTTCACCCAAACACAAAAGAATATGCCTTCTTCTTCTCAGAACCTCATGGAATTTTCTCCAAAATCAATCACATACTCAACCACAAAGTAAGTCTCAACAGATAAAAGAAAATTGAAATAACCTCCTGTATCCTATCCACCATGGATTAAATCAGGATTTCAACAAAAACAGAAACAACGGAAAGCCTACAAACTTATGGAAACTGAAAAATTCTCTACTGACTGACTACTGAGTCAAGACAGAAATGAAGAAAGAAATTAAAGACTTCCTAGAATTCAATTAAAATGAATATACAACATACCCAGACTTATGGGACACAATGAAAGCAGTGCTAAGAGGAAAGTTCACAGCACTAAATGCCCTCATAAAGAAATTGGAGAGATCTCATACTAGCAACTTAACAGTACACCTGAAAGCTCTAGAACAAAAAGAAGCAAACATACCTAAGAAGAGCAGATGGCAGGAAATAACCAAACTGAGGGCTGAAATCAACAAAATAAAAACATAGAAAACAATACAAAGAATCAATGAAATAAAGAGTTGGTTCTTTGAGAAAATCAGCAAGATAGACAAGCCTTATCCAAACTACTAAAATACACAGAGAGAGAACATCCAAATTAACAAAATCAGAAATATAAAGGGAGACATAACAACAGACACCAAAGAAATCCAAAGAATCATTAGGCCACACTTCAAAAACTTGTACTCCACAAAATTGGGAAAATCTAAAAGAAATGGACGAATTTTCTTAGTAGATACTACTTACCAAAGTTGAATCAAGATCAGAAAAACAATTTAAGTAGACCTATAACCCCTAAGGAAATAGAAGCAGTCATTAAAAGTCTCCTCACAACAACAACAAGCCCAGAACCAGATAGTTTCAGTGTAGAATTTTACTAGAATTTCAAAGAAGAGACAATACTAGTACTCCTCAAATTGTTCCACACAATAGAACAGAAGGAACATTGCCAAA